TTGCCTGAACGCTTCTAGGTATATTCTCTTACCAAAACTGGGGAACGTTCAGTGAGTCCACCCTTGTTTCATGTCCATTTATTTAGGAAAAAAAAATGGAAAAATATAATGTGTTGCAGTCTAAATCAAAATACATGTGTTCTGACTTCCCTACCAATGGGAGAGAAGAGCTTATTGATCATTTCTCTTGGTTATGGTCCAAGTGTTTCTAAATGTGTCTCATCTCTATATCCCAACCATGACTGCAGAACCCCACAATGAATTAATGACCATTAATGTCATTAATGATGTGGGTAGATGTGGCCTGAAACATGTGTCAAAAAAAAGCCAAGTGAGTATAGCGTTTATTCAGAGACCTGCAGTGATTGATCTAGACAAATCTCTAGCTCTTTATCAGGAGAAATTTTCTTCACTTTAGAATCAAGAGAAATCTAATCAGAGGGGCTCCTTCTCCAAAAGGACTTCTAACAATGCAGCTTGAAAGGTGGAAAAAATAGCATCTTCTGTGGTGGTTCTGATTTTCATTATGATACTTCAGATGGTTGGTGGAATGTGCTAGGAAACAAAGTTTAGTTATCCTGGGTCAGAAGTTCTGTCTCTTTCAGAGGGCCAGGACCAGATGATCTTCAGTTAGGGCCCAGACACTCCATTCTTGGGCAGTGTTTTCTACCAACTCCGATTCATTTCCATTGTGGATATTTGTATGAAAGATGGATTTGCCCCTAAGCCGCCACTGATATTCAGATGCGATGTACTTAGCCACTCCATAGATGCCATTTTTTGGTCCCCTTTGCACCCCTCTAACAGAAGTCAAGAACAGCCACATGAATCAGAAAATTTACCCATTTTATTGATGCATTGCAATTGCTCTACATTTTACCATATTATGTAGAAAATACTGAAAATACAAGCTACTTTGTAAAACCAAAGACAAACATTGAATCCAAAGATAAACTATGTTTTACACAATGGACCCTTTTCCCATAGTTAGTATTAAATTTTAAATATCTATTTCTTTTGTTAAAATGATTATTTTACATACTCCCTAAGTACATCTGCATTACAAACATAGCTCAATAATTCTCAGAAACTGTTTCTAGAGGCTTGTTGTAAAAGGAAGCGCACAACCAGAAAAGGGAGAAAGCAAAAAAAGTTTAAATCGCACACAATAACTAGCATATCAAATACATTTAATAAAGTTGGAATTCCATTGCAATATCAAGGATTCAAAGCAGAAATACTAACATTACATATAATGTACATATAATGTACTGCTACATGTAGTGAGATTATTTTTCAAGCTGAGTCAAAACCACACATTATATAAAGTTTAGCGACAAACAACCATGTGGACATGCTGCACCATCCATCAGTTTAAAAAAAAAAACAAAACCCAAAATAGGAAGCAGGCTTGGGCCATTCCTGTCACTGAGAGGCATTTCATTTTCTATCCTAAAACAAACCAACCTAACCAGTGGGTTTTTGCAGAATAATGCTGAATAAAACACACATTACTGTATTTGCCTGGCTCAGGGCAATCAAGCTGAGCTCCTCTAGTGGAGGAGGATGGATGGCCAGAACTGTGTGAAATGGAGTTCTTACTTCTGGGGCTGGTATCTGAGCTGAGCACTGACGCCAGTGTCCCCTCCCGGGACCTATTAAAACTCTGGAGTGATCAAGTGTCCCGATGAGCCCAGAGTGGCTGTACTTAAGCCTTCCCCACTTTCTCTCTCACCCTGAAGGGGAGAAGCTGGAAGCACAAATTCTGAAAGGACGTGAAGCACAAGTTCTGAAAGGACGTAAAGCCTGAAGCTGGCCTGAGGTTAGGCCACTATGACCAGGTACCAGCCGCTCACTGAATTCACAGGGCTTCCCCCCATCCTGTCAGGGCTGGCAATGTGAAGCCCCAGGGACAGATTCTAAAGCCACATTGAGCACTGTATTCAGCAGACACAGATGGATTTTTATCTTGGTAAATTTGAAATGTCAATTTGCAGGTTAAGGCTGAAAATTTCTAAAATTCTTAAAGCCGCAACTGCTAGTACGGATGTTTCAGATAACAATACACACTCTGGGTATTGTCTTTTCCCCCATGAAGTTAGTTAAGACTTGTACCTTAAGTGGTATCTATTTATTGGACGGGGGGCAGGAGTGGAATGTTTTGTATCCCCCCCCACATATCTCATTTGTTACAAAAACAACAAATCTTTTATCCCTTGTAGAGGAAAGATAAGGAATAAAAAATGTTTCTACTAGAAACTAGGTCTGCCTTTGAACAAGAAAATAAAAATACGTTTGGTAAAAAAGGAAACACAAAGATCACACACATTGACCAGAAAAATGTGTAACATTAGTGATGGAAACTATACGAGCTGCTTGGGTATCTTCACCAATACAGCGGTGCAAACACAACTCAGGAGAATGACCACAAGAAGAAAAGAAAAAAGAAAAGAAAGAAAAGAAAAGAAAGAAAAGAAAAGAAAAGAAAAGAAAAGAAAAGAAAAGAAAAGAAAAGAAAAGAAAGGAAAAGAAAGTAGAGAAGAAAGGAAAAGAGAAAAGAAAAGGAAAAAAAAAAGAAAAAAGAAGTAAGAAAAGAAAAGAGAAAAAGCAGAAAACACCAACATGTTCCTGGTAGGCTGTACTGACTATCTGCCCCATCGTGGAAGCCCTTACTCTTTACAATGAAGAAACAAACTCCAAATACCTTGACAGCTCCTCGGTGTTCAACCCGGTACAGAGCTTGCTGACCAGGCTCCATGAAATCTCCCATCTCCATCCTGCACCTCCTTGACGCCATCTCTACAAAGAACCAGTCCTAGACTTAGCCCTCAAGTACATAATTTTCAATTCAGATGGAACACTTCTCTATCTTAGAGTTAACCTTCTTCCCCCAAATCTTTTATGGGCAGGAACATCCCCATCCCCAGTACCCTCCACTTGACCCAGATCCATGCAGGAGCTGAGAGTACAAGGACAATTTCACAGCCCCAAGAATATTCAAGCTGTTAAAAAGAAACGTCAAAAGCCCGAAGACTCAACAGGCTTTGGTTCCTTTTTAATATTCTTCACCGGCTCAGAAACCTTCCTGTGAGTTCCCTGTCACCAGCGGCATCACAAAACTCCTCCTCATAGTATGGGGACATGGTAAGCAATACAACAGGCTCTTTGGTATAAACAGATCTGTTATATGTTTTTTTCCAACAAGCAAATACTTTACTAGGAATGCCAACTATTTGCAGGAAGGACTGCCACATGGGAAAAGGAAAAGAAAAATCTCATTCTAAAAGTGATTGCACATACTTTAAAGAAAAAGAAAACCACCATATATTTCATATTGGCTTGACTCCTCTCACCTGCTTCCCAAATTCTCACAGAAGCAAGGTAGCAATGCACCGTGAGAGAGCCACGTGGGGAAAATGCTTCTGTGAGAACTCAGCTGAGATTCCAGACTGGAAAGGGGTAGACGTGGTGCTAAAGGAGAAAAGCTGCTGTTTTTATTTTTCAACGTCGGCAGGGAAACTGACAACAATGCATTTACACGACACAGCTACTAATCCTGTTCTGATAAATCCCAGTGAACAGCTTAGGGTCCACAAGGGCTTGCTGGTCCATCCTAAGGCAAGCTCACTGTAAACTCTATGAACCACTACATTATCATATAAGGCACTACAATAAGGGAAGGAGGAGAAAGGGAAGAAGAGACACACACTGAACAACTCCTCACCAGACACACCTGTGCAAAACAATTCCAAGGGTCTCCTCTCCTTGCAGGCAATGCCCCTGCTCATTCAACACTACAGTAATATGCTCTAATATAATTGCAATTAGTTCACATACATTCCAACAAGTATCAGTTCATTTTGGTTTAAATACAGTGGAGACATCCATTCCATCTCCGGGGTAACACTGGAGGATCAGATACACACTAAATACACAATTCAAGTGTAATCACTACACATTTGATTACAAATAACATTTTGGGTTAGCAGGAAAAATTGCTTGTTATATTTTTCTAATCAATATGTACATATTTAATTATGCAAAATATTAAAACACCACCATTACAAAACTTCTAAAATATTTTTAAATTCAGTAATAAATTTTTAAAATATTTTTTGCAATTCCTACATGCACTTATTGTATAAGTCTTAATAAGAGAGCATTCAATTTGCTGCTGGCATACAAAGGAAGCTACTTTAAAGTATAAAAGCTATACACAACGTTCTTATCTGGTTTCAGATTCTTTAGCTTTCTCCCCAAATAAATCATAGAACAGAAGGGAGAGATGAGGCAAAGAGAGAGAGGTGTATTATTGAAAATTCATATTAATCTTTAGGCAAAGCTCACCAATGCCAACAACCTTTAGGCAAAGCTCATCTATACCAGTATCGCATAATACAAAGAGATTTTGCATATAATAAGACAACCACCACCATACAATAATAACGACCTTAATGGCTTTTCCAATAATAAAATTTAAGCTGAATCAGAGAGAGAAATACTTTTAAAAAATAACTTAAGAAGAATGCATGGTACTTCATTTAAAAAGAGTAATACCTAGTGCTTTCACGGTAGGTATGGATTCTCTCACACTAAGTTACCAGCAAATGGTGAGCTGCCTTTTTAACACTACTTTACAATAAACACAGGAGCAACTGAGAGAATCCCAAGAGTAATAAGGAGCAGTATATAACCAGTTTTGCAAAAATAACAATTGCCCAGTAAGTATAACATGACATGAAAACAAACTAAACACTGTAGTCTCATGTCCCATAAGGGAAGGTAAAATTTTGAGAGGAGAAATGCCTGATAGTCAAATACAGACTTGTGTAAGCTGCTCTTAAAAGAGGCAATTAAGTCTTGGTTTTTAAATAAGCAAAAAGTGATGATTTTTCTTTCCTCACTTGTTACCAGATTTCAAGTCCTTCTATCAGCATTTTTCCTCTGACCAGCAATTACAATAAAACAAAGTTAAATAAAGAGGGGCTTCACTTGGTCTTAAAAACATTTATAGAAATCAAGTCAGAGAGAAAATATTTTTCAAAGGGTAACTTCACAACGATCTCTCTTCCTTGATAATTGCAGAAGATGGGCATCTGAACTCTTCCAAATACCAAAAATGCTGTCACAAAAATAAAGAATTAAAAAATAGGGCAGACTTTGGGAGACTACAACAATGCAGTCAACACTAAGACAGGTTCCCCAGAGAAAAACCTTCTGCTTCAGTGGGCCCCTGCAGAACAAGTTGCTGGCTAAGGAGTTTCAAGAGGGGCCTAAGGGAGGAGTTCATCATAGCCTGTTATTAAGAACTCAGGGCCAGGAACAGGCAGTCATGACCCCTCCTCCCTCTGCTCACCAACTACAAATAGGAATACTGGCTGATCTTGGTCGGACTCAGTGGGTATCCAGTGTAAATTGTTGAGCCTCGGGAAGACCCAATGTAGGACTGGGTGGCAAACTGGTGTTGGTACTGAGCAGGGGCCACACTGGCAGAAGTGAGAAGGCTGGGCCCAACGCTGACAGGGACCTGGTGCACCAGAGTGCTAGGGTGGGTGCTATAGGCTGCAGCATGCCTTGAGGAGCCCTGGGGGGAGAAGAGATGAGCAATGGAGCTGGTGGAGCCCAATGCAGCAGCAGAGGTGGGGGCAGCATACGTATACAGGTGAGGCTGGCTCGGCAGGTGAGCAGGGGCTGGGGCCAGGTGTGGGTGCCCCGTCGAGTGTAGTGGGCTGCCATGCTGGAAGGCGTAGGGGGCCTGGGAGAGCGGGGCCACAAACGCCTGCTGCCTGCGGGGGGCAGGGTTGCTGCTTCTCTCCTGCGAGGTCGGAGCTGACGATGACTGCTGGTTCTGGAAGGAGGAAGAAGGGGGTGAGGAACCTTGAGGTCGTTCCGGTTCAGGGACCAAAGGCCAAGTGGAGAGTTGAGGTTCTAACCTGTACTGTTCCTGGGCTGCCACAACACAGAATCTCCCAGACTGGCAATGCTGTCAGAAGTCAGACCCCATCCCTCCACCTCTTGGCAGAACAGATCCTAATCCAGCCCAGATACCAGCAGTTTGCTCTTAAGTACGACAGAGGCCACAGGGGAATCAAGAGTTCACGGGGGTGGGGGGGGTGGTGCCTGGGTGGCTCAGTGGGTTAAGCCTCTGCCTTCGGCTCAGGTCATGATCTTGGGGTCCTGGGATCAAGCCCCGCATCGGGCTCTCTGCTCAGCAGGGAGCATGCTTCCCCCTCTCCCTCTGACTGCCTCTCTGCCTACTTGTGATCTCTCTCTCTCTGTCAAATAAATAAAATAAAATCTTAAAAAAAAAAAAAAAAGAGTTCACAGGGTTACCCACTCCTGCAAGTTAGTAACTGTTGACTCAACTCACCCTATTTTGGTGCCAGGGAATTTGAATTTTTCCTAACCTTTCTTTCTTGCCATTGTGTTCTTTTGTTCTCCTCTAAGTTCTTCATATCCCTCTTGACTTGTGGAGCCTAAAACACATGTACTAACTCGAACTGACATTTGCACTTGTGTGTGCTCTCTCTCTCTCTCTCTCTCTCTCACACACACACACACAGTTACATCCTCATGTTTACACTTTCTTACTACTGGTGGACCTCATACAAGCACCAGAATTTTAGCTTAAGAAAGAATAAATAGTATCTCTTTTACAAGCAGAATAGTGTCTCTCTCCACCCTATCAGATCACATAGTGGTTAGGGGGGGATCTCAGACTCAAGGCAACACACAGCACTAGAACCAGTTGATGAAGTGGCCACAAAGCTTTGCACTGTCTCTTGCCTCAAGTAATTGGTGTGAGGCTCAAGGTTATTTATGACCTGGGTAATAAAGGAAGAGGACCTGGGAGCAAAGCATGTGGTGGTACAGAAGCGGGCATGGACTAAAGCACCCGAGGCTCTTCCTAAATTCCAGACATTTCTCTCATCTTCCAGGACAGTTTAGGGAAGTCTGATGGAAAACCTGGAATGTGCATCCTCAACACACAGAGGGAATAAAGGGACATAGCACATGCAGACAGGACACAGGCCACAGAACACTAAACGGTCTGACACAAAAGGGGCTTCATTTGGCTTTATTCAGCAGTCCAGCCAGAAGCAGGGTTCTCCAGAGAGTGACAGTAGGGAGGGCCCCAAACAGAAGGCAGCAGCCCCTAGCGCTTACCTGGCTAAGGTTGAGTGGCTGTGCTGCGCTGGTCCCCCCGCGTGGAGCTCGATAGCCTGTGGGGGTGATACAGCATCCAGATGACTGCCCACTCACTGAGGCCACTGGCTTGGTCTTACTGCTCACGAGACCTAAAAAAAGGGTCAGACCGTAATGAGTTATGAGTAGCCTCAGCTAAACCTCAGATGGCATCATATTCATCAGTCCACATCTGAAGGAGGTTTGCAAAAGTTAAGGTTTCATGTGTATCTTATTTCCTCAATTAGGTTTACACCAGAGGAACCAAAACTGCACAACCCATTTCTTTTCTGGCTTGCTACAAAGCTCCATAAAGGATCTTCCAAAGATTCCCTTTAGTAAATCTTATCTAGTCTCTTATAATGTGCAAGGCACTACTAGGAATACAAACACCAGTGGGACACAGTCCCTATGCCCCCAAGGGGCCTAGAGTTTTATGTAGGAAGGGGTTAAACAAGTATAGAAATGGCAATGGGAAGCTGAGTAAGATGTTGGTAATACTCAGGACATTTAGGTGTCAAAGGGGCTTCAAAAGAAGGTATGATTAGATCTTATTGGGCACTCACTAGCTTCAAATTCTAAGAAACTGCAGGCCAGTTGGATATAAGCAAGACCAATTTCAAAATTTTGTTTCCTTTGTAGTCCTACTAGGAAAATAGAATCATTTATTCAATGGTTTGTGGAGTAGCCTCTATTCTTTGGACCCAGCAGTGGACAGAGCTTCCAACAACACTGTTCAGTAGCCTGGCATCAGGAAGTTCTGCCTTGTCTTCAATGGGACAGCTACCCACTTCTGGGGGACGGGGACCATACTGAAGCTTAACACAATATCCTAAAATCAGAATCTTGTTCATGTCTCTGGCAGTAACACAATTCAGAGTAAAACGCTAATTTACGTTAAGTACAGCACAGACAGCTATACTGACACCAAAAATTCATGCTTCCCTCCTTTGGTGTACAGAGTTGCCACTGGAAAACAGCTGCCTAGACAAGGACTCCGTTTCCTGGGCCCCCCAGCCTCCAGGTGGGGCCATGGGGTTAGTATGCACTGTTTCCAGGGCTCAAGAGCTAAAGCAATGTGTGTCCCTCCTCCAAACTCTTCCCTCTTCTCATCAGAGGCTGAGGATTCCTGGTCTCTGATCCTTGACTCACTGCAGGCCCACCAACCAGGAGCACTAGCACTGGGAAGTCATGTGACTGAGAAGCAAACTTCTATTATGTCAAGCCCTGGAGATCTGCGGCTTGTTACTATAACTAGCATTACCCGGTAACTGAACCAGCGAGCCCAAGCCCAGCATCTAACAGGAAAAAGATGGAGGAAGCTAGGTTGATAATAAAACCACAAAGTATCACTGCTATGACATCGGGTAAGAAAAGATCGAAGTACACACTGTTTAAAAAAAAAAATAGTATCAGTTCCTTTTCACTCTGGATTATCAAATTTCAATCACTTGTGACAAAAAAATTTGCCCGCTGATTCTCTTGGCTGTACAACAGCTCTTGTCTGTGTTCTCCCATCAAAAGTGAGTACATTTCTGAGACTACAAATTCACCACTATGTTAACCTGAACAAAATAAACAAAGTAAGATAAACTGGTCGCCAAAAATATTTTCACATCCCAAGGAACTGATTTCTGAATTAAAGAACTGGTCGCTACCGTTGGCAGAAGTAGATTAAAGCAACACGTTCAGGACACAAACAGCGACAGAGAATTCCCATGTGGCTGTGAGGATGCTCACCTGAGGCCGGGGCTGCCCCAGTGCAGTCACCGAGCTGAGTTTTCAGTGGAGGCACAATGATGGTGCGGGTGCCGGGGCCATCCCCTGCGACTCTGCCGGGCCCCTCCACCAGGGGTCCACTGTTGCCCCGGAGAGCACTCAGGGTATCAGTGGAATATGGGCTGCTCAAGGAAGAGTCAGAGTCTGGAGAATCATTGACAGTGACATAACTGATGACGTTAGACCTTGCCTTCAGGCCAGAGCTGAGGAGAAGAAAATAGGTGAAAATTCAGCCCACTTTTAGCAATGTTTCTTTGATGATCATTGTTCCTCCCAGGACGATAATGGCAACAGAGTAACACGAGCAGCAGCAGACTTCTGAGCTCTTATTCTGCATCAGGCACTATTCTTACCCTCCACATAGGTCTCACTAAAACCTCACAACACTTCTATGAAATAGTTACTATAACCCCCATTTTGCAGATGAGGAAGCTGAAGCACAGAGAGATTAAGACACTCAGCCAAGGTCACACAAGTGGTAAGTGGTGAAGACAGGATTCAAGCCGGCACAGCATGCTGCCAGATACACAGCTCTAACAACTCTTCCACATTGCTGCTCGGCCATTTCCACTCACGGTTATTTCCATAGTATTCTCTGTATCATCCTGCTAAACTATATTAATGATTCCTTGGTATGTCTAAACAAACTTCTCACCATATATATTTTTTTAAGATTTTATTTATTCACTTGACAGAGAGAGAGATCACAAGTAGGCAGAGAGGCGGGCAGAGAGAGAGGGAAGCAGGCTCCCTGCTGAGCAGAGAGCCCGAAGCGGGACTCAATCCCAGGACCCTGGGATCATGACCTGAGCCGAAGGCAGAGGCTTTAACCCACTGAGCCACTCAGGTGCCCCTCACCATATTTTTGTTTAAACGTTCCTTCATAAACTGAACTCCACCTTCTTAACTTTAATTTTTCCTCATTTTTTAAAGAGACTTGGCTCTAGTCAAAGAAATCCTGCTGGTTACACATTTTTTGCCACTCCATAGTCATTTTTCCTCACTGGAAAGTTTACCTTTTCTCTTCCCCAAATCAGTTCAGAAACCACTTTCAGTGCTTAGTTTCAAGTCTACATCCCATTTGTAAATACCATTTTGTAACTGTTAATATCATTTGTAAATACCTCTTTTGAGGTACTTCATTCTAAATCTGCTCTTTCAGGTCATTAAACTTCATTCATATGTAACTCTGCAAAGTCTTCTCAGTTACTGTCGTGTGTGAACCCCACCTCCCCAGGTAAACATGGTGTTATTCCCTCTTCTTTATGCCTAGCACTAAAGGCCCAATAAAGCACAGGACACAGAACAATCGAAGCAACTGACTATGTTCCCACTAAGAGAGAGGTGTATGTAACAGTTCTTCGAGGTATACACTCTCTCTTGGTTAACTGCCCAGTTAAGAACTTGGATTAAGGTGCTGAAATAAGAGGAAATTATCTGGTACTGACATTCCTCAACTTTCATTCCACAAAGCAGAAGGAGAAAGAAAGTAGCCCTACTTCAAGTTGCACCTCTTCCAAAGTGGCCTTTGCAGATTAAGAATTTACAAATAACCTCCTATCTATTGACTTTTCCAATTAACTGTTGTTTACGTGCTCTGCTATGGCATCTATTTTCAGACCCTAAAGGTCCTTAAAGGCAGGGAATCATGTCCATGGTATAATGTGCATTCCAAGCCAAAGCAGCTAAATATTAAGCAACTTAATATTCCCCTTCCAGCTAATGTATCTGAAAAGACGGATTTAACATGATGCTCAGTCATGGAAACTGGAGTGCTCTGACTCACGCATCCAAGGCCACACTTCCAAAATACCAATTTTTAGTCCTTCCTTTCATAGCCCAAACTGGACCACTTGTCTGAAACCAAGGGTCTAAGACTTTAGGTGTCAGCTAAACCTCAGATGGCATCTGAGATGGTAGGAGCCACTGGGTCAGGGAGCCATTCACCTATCTTACCTATTGGGCTTATACTTGTTGTCCTCTTCCTCATCGGTGTCACTGCGGATGGTGATGACACTCACAGGAGGGCTGGGAGTATCTGGAATGATGATGGGCTGATGCTGATCTGGGACAGGGACTAGGGAATTATAAGAAGATGTGGTACGGAGAGGACTGCTCCCAACAAGAGAATAGACTTGAGAAGGCAGAACATCCAGAGAAGACCTGTAGAAAAAGGCCACAAGAAACACCGTTCAGTCCCTGGCCCCCCAAATTATCCACCTTTTCCCCAGAACTCTTTCCAACTTGTTCTCTGACTCCTTTTCACCTAATCATTAATTCAATACACTTGATTATAGAAGTTCCAATAAAAACTAAACAAACTGCTCTAAAAGAGGGTTTCCATCAGGGCCAAGAACCCTAAAATACAATGTAAATTTTATTTTTGTATGCCCTTTATTCCATAGTTAAATTTCCCAATGTAACATGGGCAGAAAAATAAAAACATTGGCATAAAAGAGGGCCTCCAAAGGGGCACATGCACCCGAATGTTTATAGCAGCAATGTCCACAACAGCCAAACTATGGAAAGAACCTAGATGTCCATCAACTGATGAATGGATAAAGAAGATGTGGTATATATATACAATGGAATACTATGCAGCCATCAAAAGAAATGAAATCTTGCCATTTGCGATGATGTGGATGGAACTAGAGGGTATTATGCTGAGTGAAATAAGTCAATCGGAGAAAGACAACTATCATATGATCTCCCTGATATGAGGAAGTGGAGAGGCAACATTGGGGGCTTGGGAGGGTAGGAAAAGAATAAATGAAACAAGACGGGATCAGGAGGGAGACAAACCGTAAGTGGCTCTTAATGTCACAAAACAAACTGAGGGGGGTTAGGGGGAGGGGAGTAGGGAGAGGGGGGTGGGGTTATGGACACTGGGGAAGGTATGTGCTATGGTGAGTGCTGTGAAGTGTGTAAACCTGGTGATTCACAGACCTGTGCCCCTGGGGCTAATAGTACATTATATGTTTATAAAAAAAAAAAGTAATATAAAAAGAAAAAAAAAGAGGGCCTGGATTCAAAGTGGCAGCAGAGAGAAAAGATGTGCATGAGGAAGACACACCTGGTATGCATGCCCAAGTGAAAAGTTTATCTCTTCCTCAATTTGGCAGCTACTCGCTGCTTCTCACCAAAAAAGATCTCTACCACAGCCCTTTAAATGCTGGCGACATCTCTCTCAAAAATGGCACTTTTAACTACCAACTCTAACAAAGACTTACTTAGAAGAGACTGGAGCAGATTGCTTATTCTTCTTAGAAGGGAGAGAACTGGATTGTGGTTGTCTGACAACATGGGCAACACCAACATTCAGGGGCTGAGCAGTGGCCAGCGTCACGTGGTTAGTCAGCAAGGAGGGCTGCTGCATGATAGTGCTGTACTGGTTGCCGTGAGAGTGGGCATTCCTGCACCAACAGAAAGACACAGAGAGACTGAATGCCTAAACCACTGGGAAATTAGGTCCAGATAGGTATTAAAAGCAATTAAGACAACCAAATAGAGCTGCATTTTATTTTTTAAATTGGGCACCTGGATGACAAAGCCTTGGTTTTCATTGCATGGTTTCTAAATGCATAAGACTTTCAATCTGAAGTAAATGATTCCTGATCTCAGAACCTATGTTTTCCTATATTCCAAGTTTCTCATTACTCCACCTCCTAGCCCGAAAAGGGTTCTTTTCTTAAAGAATCTGAAACAGAGATACATCTCTCCTTTCCTTTATTTTCTTCCTAGGAGTCTGACCAAATCATTAAGCACTCCTACCCTAAGGGATCTGCCCTTGCAGATCTCCCAGAGAGGAACACAGGGTACTTGCCTCCAGTCTGTGAGCTGCTGGCCACTGCCCATGGCCTCTGGAATCACTGCTGTGGGCTGGACAGAGTTGTGCAGAGCTACCCCAGGCAACTGTTGCCAAGTTGAAGGCAGGAGAATTTGTTGGGTTCCTCCAGGCCAAGCCTGCTGTAAGGAAACACACACAAAAAAGATCCAGACTTGACTCATTCTTGGCTTTTTCTTTTGTTTTTTAGATGAAAGAAAAATTCATATTGTAAAAGAAGTTGCTTGTAGATTGTTAACTTGCAGAGATCAAAAAAGAAAAGTCAGAGGGGCTCAAGGTTACAAGTCTTATGAATAGGGAAAGAGAACATACTGCTTTCTCTGGGCCACCTCTGTAACATGACCACCAGGGTATTAAAGAAAAGAAGATCCCTGTGGTTAAGAGTTTCTCTATTATACTGTGGAGTCAAAGAGTCTGAAAAGTTCAGAGGTAAGCTCTGGTTAAATGATGGAATACCATTTTTGCAAGGATTCTAAAAATACACCTAGAAAGAGTTAAGACAGCTCCCTTGAGATTAAAAATAGGAATTTTAAAATTTAAGTGCCAATCAGTTAAGACATCAGGTCAATTTAACCCATAAAACAAAGAGGAGAATTATGCCTTTTTAAAAGGGTAGAACTTCGAACATGAAGCCAGATGTGAATGACCAAAGGCCAAAATCCTTTGGCAAACAAGCATATGCCAGAAACAGAAAGCCAACTTCATCATATACAGCCATATGAGAGAATTAAATAAAGCAGTAAGTAAAATATTTCTAAAATAGATTCAGGGAGCACCATACTTTGTTTTTAATAGTTACCTAAAATATACTGTTTAACATATCATTTATAAAAATATACTTCAACATAAAAACTAATCACTACAAGAAAATACATCATTTCTGGTTTTTAACAAGCACTTGCAATAGACAGCAACAAATATGTTTTCTGAACTTCTTACAGAAATTCTGGCATTTTCTTAAAAAATGGGAACAGATTTGAAAGTTTCCTTTTTAAACTTTAAAATTCTACAGTACAATCACCTACAATGCTAGGGTACATATGGTTCTTTCTTAAATTTCAAACTGCAAGGCCATCAACACACTGTTTTATTTCTGCAAGTAACAGATCCACTTGTTACAAATACCGGTTCCAAACAAGAAGCCTTCAAAGCAGAGAAACTGCAAACACGTCTGCTACCATAAGCAGAATTTAAAACAAAATAAAACAAAACAAAAAATAAGAGAAGTATGTTAAGTCACACCATGCGTCTTTCCATAAGCCAACACCTGCACAAGACAAAGCATGTAGTTTAATACAGAGCAAGAAATAACATTCCAACGTGAGGCAGAAATCTGGCGTTCCAAGCGACGAACTGTTTTGACAGAGGAAGAACAAAAATATGCAAAGCTTAGCAAATGACTAGTGCAAACTGAAGAGAAGCAGCAAAGGAGAGTATCAACTAACATTCTCAAAACTATAGGTGAGCAAGTTAGAACCAGTGGCCTGGATCAATCAAATTGGAAATATATCTGACTCCCTTGCACTCAGGTTTTATGCTCATGATGTAATTAATCTGGAGGTGACAAAGGCTTTTAAACTAAAAACCAAACAAATTCCAACAACCAAAGTATGTTTCTGGAAGTGTTTACACTCACATAGAGTCCTTGAGAAACAACAAAGGAAATTTAAAAGCCCCTTCACAAAAGATGCAGATAATCAGTATTCAGTAGTATCAATAAGGTTTTCAAATGCTTACCTAGCTTTAAATTTCAAATAATGAAATGCTGGATGTCCAATAAACAATTCTAACTCCCCCGAATAAACCAAAATACATCAAAAGACCACTCTGAAGGGTACAAATCCTGAAACACACCTTGAGGTCCTACTCATCTTTCCTATCTCTAAGCCCCATACTACTGCATTTGCTGCTGCATTTAGTGACTTTTCCCCAGGACTTTTAGTCACAAAGGTATTGTATTAGCATAAGGGTTTTCAGCCTTATTTTCATCTCTGTCTAAAGACCTCTTTGTAAAGTCATTAATTTCTCCATAAACCCCTAAAAATTAGTTTATATTTAATCTCAACCAACAAATGAAATCTGATCTAAAAAAATTCTACAGGGAACATCTTTAAATGGAAGATATCAGCTGCCACTGAACATGAGTGGCAAAGAGAGTTATCCTCATACGTTCATAGAAGAAAAGTTAACATCAACTGATAAAGCAATAAATTAGGAGCAACTTAAACATTTCTACATGCACAAAAATTTTAGAAGCTTAAAATAGCAAATAAAGAAGGAAGCTAACTTGCCAAGGAGTTCAAATTTTGGCCATCCGGATACCTGCAGCAAAGCCAAACTAAAGGCCATTTCCTTTATTCTCAAGGATCAGAGGGTAAAAGAGCAAAAAACAGATACAGTGTTGAAGCTCTTCTGAGGCTACACCAAGAGCTTTCATCACACTAGGCTGGCAAAGAAGAATAATGGGATCTGGTTCCTTACAGAGCCACTCTGAATATCAGAATCAAACACTGCTTCAGCAAATGTTGGGGAGGAAAACAATGAGACATTAAAGATGTAGCAAGAACACAGCCACAAGATGGCACATGCTTCCATGCCCTCTGCAAAGACTAAGTTAAATTTTTTTTTTTTTTAAATGAGAAAACCAGAAGAAAACAGAACAAAAACAAGCAGGAAAAAAATAAAAAAGAAAGAAACCAAAGAAACTCCGTTAGTAACACAATCAAGTGAGGGGAATTACCAGTACAGCGGCAGTCTGTTCAACCAGCGCCGGCCGGCCGGCTGCGCAGCTCAGAGTAAAGGGCACCGCATACTGCGGTGCGATGGTGGCTACTTGAGGGTGGAGAGTTGCTACCATTAGTGGTGTACAGCTTCCCTGCAACGCAGATCAGGCAGGTGAGTGAAACAAACACGGAGGCAGGTTATCTGGATTCAGAAGGGCTCTCATTCCCCCCAAGATATTACCAACAAGCAGTCATTTCGTATCACCTAAATGCATGTACAAACACAACTTGCCCCTTCAACTCTGCACAGCATCAGCCTACTAGGTCAAATGTCAAGGGCCTAAAGCAATCAAGTACAGGAATCCTTCTTGGGCCAGATTCAGAGGATCGGTTCTACAAAACTCAGGTAACAAAGGCATGTATTAATAATTCCTCTTCTTCCTACTCCCAAGAGAAGAGTTTTTGGACTTCCAAATTTCTTCTGTGTCATGGGACACAAATATTTACACACAGAATTGAAAATACAGTATCTGTTGCTTATGTAAGTCTTTCATGATGTTCTTGCCCATCTTAGTTGCATGTCCCAGGGCAGGTAGAAAATTTTAAGGCTTCCTATAGCTTAAACACACAGAGTGAAGGAATGTAACACTTGAAGAGGCATCCTGATCTGATGCAGCCTCTCTGCCATGATGTCATTCTGAAAGAGCGAGCAAAGGGGCCGCTGAAGGGAACAAAAGGGCAACACTTTATCTTTAGAATCAAAATATTACTCCATGTGTATAAAAAATTAACTACATCCCACAAAGTCGGAGTGAATTTACTCAAAACACAGCTTCTCAGGGTCAGGGTATTTATCCCTGTAAGTCTACGGAAGACACTGTCAGAGTTGCAATAGTGTTAGGAATAAGGAATCATTCCTCTAGAGCTGTCTCCTTTTAAGTCCACTGAATCAAAACCAAGAAAGATCTGACAGTCAAAGCAAATACCATCCTCGAGGACAAACACTGAGTGTCCAAGCTGCCGTGGCTGTTACCTGCGTCAGCACTCCCGATTGGATCTGCAGTGGCTGCGCGGCCGGCGCCTGGGGTACAATCGGCACGGCGTTATCCATCCTCACAGGGAATCCAGAGTGTTTTGTTGTTGCTTGTAGTCCAGCTGCAGAAAACACCACCACTGTTAAAGTGCTGTGCGAGGTCTGCGCTTCGGTTGGGGCTTTCTTGTTTTTAGCTTTTCTGTTCAAATAATCCATCACCCAGGTTAGTACTAAACACGTAAGACAAAGGAGTTTCATAGAAGTCTAGGGGGCTAAGAAAAGGGAGACTGGTTTGGCTCTTTCAGGTTAAATTCATGGGAAGATGTTTGATACAAAAAGGGATGGTTTAAGGGAATTACAAAAATTTTTTTTTGTCCTACAACACTTAAAACTAACAACCATCCCATTCCCATTAACAGCACATGCAAAAGCAAACAAATAAAAAATCTACACTTATTAGGTTACATTCACCTTTTAATCCATTCGGGGGAGAAATTGGGATTTTTTACATGTAATTTATTAAAAGTGAAGACAAAATAATTCTTAACTTTTGGTTAGTTATGACTCTAAGTTAAGAAAAAAATTATCATTATTTATCATCTAAGTTATCCTTTGAGAATATTTTAAGATGTTTTACCCTACTCCTCAAAAAATTCACAAATTAGTTATACATTCTATCTTTAACTAGTATATGAACTGAAGAAATTACAACCCAGGATAAAAATATTTAAAAAGTAGATACTTGGGTTTACAGAAACACTTTTTTTCTACTTATTTTAGGAATCTGCCTTTGCCTTTGACAGCTTTCTAATAAGGCTCTTTTACAACTAATGAATAGCTAAGAAAATCAAGAATTTTTGTTGCCTTGCTCTGAGCACAAATGCTGAATGAATGTTTCCTCCAAATGGGAATTTCTTATTCTGGGGAAAAGAGGGGCTCAGGACAGTTTTCCCTTCAGCCAAGAGTTGAAAAGAGAGACTTCTAAGCTTTCTTTTAAACCTGCCCTATCAAAACTGTCAATGTGGACAATTTAAGTTTCTATTATCTACTAATAGAAGTTTCTCTAATTCACTAGTGCCTATGTTTGGTGAAGTGAGAACACAAACATATTATCTTAATTAGAATACTTCTTCAGTGACACTTTCTAAGCTACCAACGACTAATTTCTCTTAATATTACTATAGAGACACCAAATAAGCATAACTCCTAAACTCTAATACTTTGGTTTTCAGCAAGCCTTCCAATTTTCCATTTCAGTGATTTACAAGTATTTTAGCAGTAAGATGTTACACTGGAAAACACAATCCAGAAATACACAAAGTAAGAGAGACTAGTAAGATTAGAATTAAAACACCAGAATAATAACTTTTCAAAAAAGTGCTACTTATATAAAAATAAAAGGTAACAAATCCAGATATCCAGATTAGAAAAAAAAATCTGCTAGCTGTTCTTCATAAGGCAATGCTATCTAGTAAGATAGCTAAGCAACATCAAAATTCTTGTCTAAATTCCCAGGACATATGGCCAACTACAAGACAACATTACTGTGACAGCCTCCTAGAAATGGGCAGGAACAAAGGGCAAAGGCAGGCAAAATTTAGGAAGAAATGTTCATGAAGTTCACCTATAAGTTTCAGGATAATGAAGTAAAAGGGGACAAAATTACAAAATAATAGTCATCACTGGGCAAAATGTGTACCTATTTTGGTCAACTGGAATAGTACAGAAAGTAATATTCAGAGTACTAACCTAAAAATGCAACTAAATAACCATCAAATTGCTTTCATAATTTAGGTTAAACCACAGCAGTTAAGCTAGTTTCAAACTTGCTTCTTCAGGAAACTACAAGTGAAAACCAAGAATTAACAAAAGGCAACACTTTTGGAAGGTTCTCCCTGAACCCCGAACTAAGAAATTACTCAAGTTTTGGTTTTTGTTTTGTTTTGTTTTGTTTTTGTTGAATACAACACATTAAATAAAAAACCATGGAAGCATGGAAAGAACTATTTAATTGATGAGGGTCAATTTTCCTCTAAGTATAGTAACTTGCAAAAAAGCAGATAGTGAAAGAAAAAGAGACAACCTGGAATACAGGACTGCCAGGAAAAAACCAGCATATGGCTGGGCTGGCAAACCAAATGACAACCTTTACAGCTGAGTTTAAATGCTAAGAGGAGGTACAGCATATTTCAAAACCCCACTGCCTAGGTTCAAGTCCCAGTTCTAACACTAGCTAGTTATTAAGACTTTGGGCAGATGAAAGAATCAGGTTAAATTTTCTCATCTTTAATGGCACATATTGACATTAGGCATAATGACATTACCTACTTCCTAGGATTGTCTGCTGAGGATGAATTAATACAAGTACAAATAGAACATTATCTGGTGTGTAGTAATACTTATCAGCTATTTTCATCCTTATTACCTTAACTTAAAAACTCCCTTTTGTTTGGAAATTTTATAATTTGCTCTAGCTCCTCAGGTTATTCGGACTTCCTAAATAGAAAAAAATTTCCAAAACTTATACTTACCTAGTTATAGCAAAAGGAGTTACACCACTTTTCCCCTCTATATCTAGTCTACATTTTTTTTTTTTATTAAGGGAACCAAAAAGTTCTGCCTCGTCTCATAAATACCATCTGAGAAGCAGCAGAAGACTTCAGAGGCTCTGAAAACTGTTCCTGTGAGACTCACTTTGGAAAAGGTGAAGGGGAGGAGGGTGGCTAGTTTGCTAATTTCAGTAGAAAAATCACTCAACATATGACAACCCAAAGTATAGAATTTACTATCATGTAGTATACCAGAAAATTATTTGGAAGTTAGGCTAAATTTGCATTTACGGGTTTGGAATCTGCTCCTCCGCTCTCCCTGTGGTTTCTCCCTGGTTTACATCGCTATCGCTCTCCTGTCCTCCCGGTAATCTCTCAGTCTCCCCTAGCCCCTCTTTTCCTTCTGCTTGATCCGACTCTGTCAGAAACCAAACAAACAAGAGAGTCACAGTCAATAAGTAACTGAAGTTAAAAGATAAAAATGCTACCTGCTTCTACTATGACAAGACTGAATCCTGGTTTATTACCACAGAGTACAGTCAATGACTTTCTGTTGGGAAAGTCAAGTGTGCTATCAGAAAATATCCTTAAATAATTTAACCTTTGAATTGGCTCACCATATCAATAAACACATTTCCCATATTTCAGAAAAAAGGGAACTGGATGGAATGAATTACAGAACAACAATGAAAAAAATGAAGAAGGATGGGAATGTGAAATTTTAAATCTTATTGCAATGCATGGGGTCAGAGCCTTCAGCTATTCTGTTCCTCTGTTGATAGGAGTTTGCAGGAACAGTATGATTCATAAGCTGAAGCAGATAATCTAAACGTACTCCCCACAAGTACCTCAGCTTGCAGAATTTTTCAGTTCAATAAATAATAATCTTTATTTCTGAATGTAACTCATAAGGTTACATATTCCTAAGCATAATTTTTACATTTAAGGATAAAATTACCTTTTATTTGAAATGTTAATTTTATTTAATAATGGAATGATAAAGGAAGTAAGATTCAATATAGAATTTCTGTTTACAACAAATTTCTTCAAGCTTAGTATTTCTGCATATTGAGAGATATATTCTTAAACAAGATATAGGACACTGGCACAAGGTCTCAGTGGGCAAGAAATTGATATCACAGCAGTTCAAATACGAAAAGTTAATTGAACTCCCATAATGTGTCAGACATTATCAAAATTAAATAAATAACCAATGCAAAAAGGGTAAATCTTCATATTCAGAGACAGTTTAAACTTGTCAGAGATCAAAACTGAACAACTAGATACCTACTAAGGAACTGCCTAAAGCAAGATCTGTGGGTCTGATATGATACTATTCGATACAGGAGTTTCCCCACTTACTCTGAAAAGCAGGTGGACATACTATAAATGTTTGTTGGAACGGATCTGTCTGAGTGCAAATTTGGGTGGTTCCAGGCTGCAAGGACACGCCCTGCTGGGCAACTCCAGGAACTGGTGCTGCAGACGATGGATACAAAGCTGACTGGTAGTTTAGCAATGAGACATCTGAATTAGCCAGGGAAAGAGTAGCAGCTGCTGCAGTAGAACTGGAAGCTAGAACACTGGCCTAAAAACAAAAGGATAATAGTTGTATATGGATATAAAGCAGAAATAACAGTATTTTTACACATGCAGAATCTAGCCAGAAAAAATTAAAGTTTTAAAATGTAGTATTAACTGTCCCTGAAATAACTCTCTGCTTAGGAAATTTTCCCAGTCTCTAAATTTAAGGCATACTATAAGGTTGAACAGGAAAACATAGAATCAAAAACAGTCCTGTACTAAGGACAGCCTCAGATAAACCCTTATCTCTTCTCTCTGTACAAAAAGTTGCTGGATGTGAGATACCACCAAATCTCATTTTAAAAGTAGACCTAGCTAAGAAATGAGGAAGCTCACATCTTCAATAACAAATATAAATATCACTGTTTGGCAAACAAATGCAAAATCACTCTTAAAGTTAATTATTGGAAACCCCACACTGAACTCATAGAAACACTGAGTAGACTGGCGGTTGCCAGGGACAGGGCAGCAGGTGGGAGAGAAAGTGGGTGGAGGAAATCAAAGGCAAACTGTAAATTTGCAGTTACAAGATGAATGAGTTCTGAGGATCTAATGTACAGTAGAGAAAAAAATTATTGGAAACACCCTTCAATACATGTAATGAGAAATATAAAATCTTTCTAACAGAAAGTCAGTGGCTAAAGTCAGTACAACTAACAGCAGTAAGTAGTACAATAGCTATGGTCCACTTATGAAACTAGGTGAAAACTATAAGGACCTGGATTAGGCCTTTGTATTTAGTTTTTGGCAACACATTACTGGTAAGTGTCATGTCCACCTGGTCTTCCATCACTTTCACCATGCAGGAAATTTGTTCAGAAATAACAAGATCACCAAAGCAAAAACTGGTTTCTTTATCTCAACCTGTACTCTTAACTAGTTCCTTCCCCTCTTAGGTTCAAATTTCCAAAATCATTTACTGAATACCTGATTGTGCACTGTATTAAGCTGGTTGCTGAAGCTCATGGTTAGATTTGTGCTTGTATTTGGGGCAACGTGAGTAGTGAAGGGACTCTTGATCTGACTCACTGTATCGTACATGTGAACCCTCCGCTTGCAGATCTCCATGTTCTGAAAACAGGACTTAACACTGAAAAGAAAGATTAACGATTCAGTAAAATGTATGCTAAGGTTTAAAAAGATAACAAAAACTCAAGAAGAATACGGATCAAAATTTTAACCCAAGTATATTTAGATAAAATGAATCAAGAGTTTTTATAACCGTAAAGAGAAAAAACAGACATCTTATTTTTAATCTGATGATTTTTCAATGAGAAAGGAAAGCATCAGTGAGCCAAATATGCAAACACCAAGGCCGCTGCTCACATGATCGCTCTGTTTAACTGTAAGATGGTAACAAAACAGGATGACATCATGGTAAGTGCCCCAGACCATACTCACTGATTGCTATGTGGAAAATCCAGAAGGTGGGTCATTGTCACAAACTGATGGTTAAGAGTTTTCAGAGGAGTAATTCTCTTATCTGCATCAATTGTCAGCATTTTTTTTAACAGATCAATATATTCTCTTCGATCCGCCTTCTCTGCCAACATATCTGTTCCCTCCAAGTCTGTGGACATATTTACCTTACGGGAAAAATTTAGAAATATCACACATCATCATTTAACCTTTAATGTTGATACTAAGCATATGCATAATACATAGATAGATCAATAAACAGATACAGATCTCAAGAGAAAAACCTGAGGAAATTCATTTTATTACAGAAAAATCATTTTCACAAGTGGAAACTCTTCTTACACTAAATAAAATATTCAATTTGGTAGAGTGTGTTGGTAGAATAAAGCTAAATGAATCTTTTCATTCAAAATTTGGACAAACAAATGAAAGCAATTATTATTACTTAAAAATTCCTATTACTGAAAAGATTAAATGACATAATAAATATGAAATGTTTAAACAGAATTTGGAACACAGTATGCACTCAACTAATGTTAGCTTTTATGTATTTATTTAGCAGAGAAAATGGACAGTAAAGAAATCTTCAAAAACAGTATTTCAAAATACTTGACAGGCAAAAAGATTAGTTAAGCAAAAGCAAGGGAGAACACGTAATTCTAAAAGTATCTTGGTTAGGATTCAAATGTTCTTTTAATACATGGCAGAATATTAATGAACTTTTATCTCTAAAAAATGAAAATGTACTAGAAGATAACAGATTGACTCTATCTTTAATATAATTAATCAATGGAAGTATGTCTCTGATTAAGAGATACGGAAATATTTGGCTTCCTGAAACTTTCTATACTCACCTGAGCCATGTCATCTAAACAATTAAAAATGTACTTTCGAGCTTCTTTTGATTTGATTCCAGTCTCCAATTCATGTTCTTCCGGTGTCTATAAAATACAGATTAAAAAAAAAATTCCATCTGTATGTTATTTTCACATTTTGTTCAAATTAAATCCAAAATACAAAGAAACAGGAGTCGTCACCTTGCCAATCAGAGATGGCAAACATGAAAGTAATTTACAGCTGGAAAATCTTCTAGCATATGAATGGGACCTGGATATCTGACTACTCTTTTAATACTGCTAAATTAAATGTGGAAACAATGATGTAGCACAGTTCCTGAAGGATGTCATGTAAGAGGGTCATTACCATATTTCTCTTAAAGCTACTTTGAAAGGAAATGATATTTCAAATCCTAACTATTAAACAGGATCAGGGACAGAGACTCACAAAGTTACTCAAGTTAGTTTGAGATCTCTCAAGTTAAAGGAGTAGATTCAGAAGTAAAGAGCAGGCATTTATTTCATGAAAATATATAAGGCCTTAACATGGTGAGTTAGAAAATTATGTTGTTTTCTCATATTTACTCAGAATTTTCTAAAAAACAGTCATAGCTAAGTTATTCTCGTTCTTCCATGATTTAATGGTGAACACTGTTTTTCATACCCTCTTCTCAGCTGCTGGTTCAAATATACAAAACAACCTCAGACAACTGAAAGATGTTTAGTTTATTTATTTATTTATTTTTAAGTTAAGGATCAGGTCAAATGGGTACAATGAGATAATTTTTCTAAGTACTTCTTCCTGCAAACATACGTTGCCACCACCACCATCCCCTCTTCCGCCTCCACCTCAAGAACTTAATAACTAAAAAGCTGGGAGTAAGGAGTGCAGGAATGGGTAGTATAGTAGGGGAGACAGACCTTAAGCCTCCACAGCGGATACCCCAAATTAGGATCTCTGTTGAAAAACCTTGTTGTTTTTGTCCCAGCACTGAGAAGATATTCAGCGGGCAGGCCTTGTGTTTGTGAAATGTAACGAATCTGAAACATTAAAACATTGATTTGGAGTGGAAAGAGAAAATATTAAAAACTTCTACACTAAGACATTATTAGCTCTAGCCAAATCAATATAAATAAAACATATCTATAAATACATACATATGCAAACCCACTCACAGGTGATTCCCAAATATTTATACAGTTATTTCTGTGTTACTGTATCTGCCATTTACAAGGAAAACTCAGTTTTGACAATTTTGTGTATAAACATTTTGCTTTTCTGAAGACCTCTGATACAAGTTCAGAAAACTTCAGGTGATTTTTAGGACAGAACAGAATAATTTCCAACAAACTATCTCATGGATCACAAGGGTTTTTCCATTTCATTTGTTGATATATTTTCAAATTGAAAAGATCAGGAAAACATTTTTATAAGCTTCTTTCTTCCTTGGTTACTCTAGCTCCCTACTCTAAATTGCCATAGAGCTTCTCTCTCATACCATAAAATTAAATACTAATTCAGTTTCTCTATCCCTACATCACTAGGGGGCAGGCAGTGTGTTCATTAAACCAACATTTACTAAGTACCCACTATGAACTAACCTAACAGCTCTTAAAGTCTGGTCTGGGGAGCCTTGGGGGTCCCCAAGATCCTTTCAGGGAGTCCACAAACCAAAACTATTTTTAAAATAATACTCAGAAGTTATCTGCCTTTTTCATTCCCTTATGGGTATACAATAGAGATTTCCAGAGAGGATGTGTGATGATGTCATTGCTCTGATGGCTAATGAAATATGTGCTTGTATATAGTTGTGTTTTAAAAATTTTCCAGTTTTATTGTTCAACATTTGTTTGCTTCCACAATTCCAAAGACCCAAGAAAGCAACAGAAGAGATGATTTGCTTTTCTCTCCACTACTGAGAGTGATAAAAGAGGTAATTTTTTTTAACCACCTTTTCCATATTTGAATGGCTGTATTTAAGATAAAATTAGAGAGAAACTTGTAAGCCAGGAAATCTTACTTCCCATGTCTCCCCCTAAAAACTTTTAAGTTATTTTTTATTTTATTATTTTTTAAAAGATTTTATTTATTTATTTATTTACTTTTTTTTTTTTTTTTTTTGAGAGCGAGAGTGTGTGTTTAAGCCAGAGTAGGGATAGAGGACAAACGGGGAGAGACAGAATCTCAAGCAGATGCCATGCTAAATGTGCAGCCTGAAGCAGGGCTCTATCTCATGACCCCTAGATGACAACCTGAGCCAAAAACCCAGGTAGCTTCTAATTAGAAGTTTTAACTTCTAATGCAGTATATACTAACAGATATAATCTATACAGACAGACTTTTTTGGGATCCTCACCAGTTTTTTAACAGTGTAAAGCAGAGGTCAGCAAACTATGGCCTATAGGCCAAATCTGGCCTGCTTTCATGAGACAATTTCAGGTAACACCAGGATATCACTCTTGAATCTGTGGGAGCTACGTAATGGAAGCCAATATAGCATTAACAAAATAGAAAAAAAAAATTCTAATGTAGATAAGAACATTTTTTTAAAAAGATTTTATTTTTATTTATTTATTTGACAGAGAGAGATCACAAATAGGCAGAGAGGCAGGCAGAGAGAGAGGGGGAAGCAGGCTCCCTGCTGAGCAGAGAGCCTGATACAGGGCTCGATCCCAGGACCCTGGGATCATGACCTGAGCTGAAGGCAGAGGCTTAGCCCACTGAGCCACCCAGGTTCCCCTAGATAAGCATATTTTAAATATGAACTTCTTTTGTGTACAAAAATGGTGAAATATTTTTTTAAATCCAGAATAAAATTTGTGTAATAAAATACTACTCAGACATTTAAAAAACAATAGAAGAAGGGCAACTGGGTGGCTCAGACAGTTAGGCACTGGACTCTTGATTTTGGCTCAGGTCACGATCTCAGGGTCTTGAGACTGAGTCCTAGGTCAGGACTAGATGCACTAGGCATAGAGCCTGCTTAAGATTCTCTCTTCCTATCCCTCTGCCCCTCCCCACCCTGCTTGCTCACATGTGCATGCTCACATTCTCAAAATAAGTAAAATAAATAAATGAGAGAAGTTTAATTCTTGACACATAAAGATATTTCACAGTATACCAAGTAGAAAAACAAGATTACAAATTAAATAATCTCACTTTAAAAAGAATTACATTTCACTGATTCTAAGAGGCTTATTTTTTCACACTAACATCTTTGAAATCAAGATATGTCTCACAACTGATAACTGTCATGATTTAACTGGCAGCATTCTTTCTTACAGGTACGGGAAAATGGTGTATCTTTCAGTCAGTAGTGTCTTAAATATGACCAAATACAGTATATATGCTCCTCTATATCCCTAAGTTTATCATGTGGAATAGAACTATATATAGCACATATATTCATTCATTCTTTTAGGAAGTACTTATTGAGCGAGGCACTGGTGATTTTAAAAATAGATATGGTTCCTGCTCTCATAAACCCTGCAGTCAAGTGAGGGAGACAGACACTGAATATTCAAACTGAATTGGCATTCTGAAAAAAAGAAACAAGCTTCTATAAAAATGCATAGCAAAGGAACCCAAGCTAGACTGGGGACTGGTAAGGAAAAGCTCCTTGAGAAAGCAACGCTTGAGCTAATAAATGAGTAGGCACTGACTAGATGAAATGAATGGATGGTACAGAAGTATTCCAGACTATGAGAAGAGTACGTACAAGGGGTCTTTGCTGGAAGGATGCATATTCTTAACCAGTGCTGAAATGATGCCAATAGTGCTAGAGCACTTTTCGAAAAGCAAGAAGAAATGGTATACGATCAAACAGAGGGAAAGAGAAAGGGGAAGGACAACCTATGTAGGGGCTCAGAGGCCATATTAAGAATTTAGCCCTTCATTCCAAAAGTATTTTAAAAACCACTGAAGAACAGGGAAGTGGCATGATCAATTTGTGTTTTGTAAAAATCACTCTGTAAAAAAACTGGAGATCTATGTATATAATTGGAGATTATGTATATAATTTATATATTATGTAGAAAAGTATCATATAATTATTTACTTAGTGCTGTTTCCCATCACCAAACTATAGCCTCCATGAGGGCAAGTATAATGTTTTATGCAGCACTATATCCCCACTGTCTAATAAGGTAGGTACTCAATAAGTACATGATGAAAATTAACAAATTATACACATAAATAAATACACATAAATTAAAAAAATACACATAAATATAAAAAAATATGCCAAATCATAAAGGGTCACCTCTGAAGGGTGAAACTACTAAAGGTTAAAAGTTTTATCCCTTGGTTTACTGCATCTTTTCTAATTTTTCTATAATGATGCGCTTAAAGAATTAAAATATTTAAAAATTTTAATATTACAGAATGAGTTTCATTGTGAAAGTAGAATGGGAAGCTATCATCCAGATACTGCTTTTCACATAGCTTACAATACAGCAAAAACAAAAGTCCTGCATTTATGCAAACAAAGCATTATTGTCATTTGTTATATTAAACAAAATGTTTTCAACAAATCCGAAGCTATTAATATTTCAAGAATCACAAATACCTGCTATAAAATCTGCTATAATATTCCTGAAAAACCTTTAGCTGATATCATATTTAACAGTGAATACTGAATTATTTTCCCCCTAAAATCAGGAACAAGACAAGGATTTCTGCTCTTATATTTCTGTTCAACACTGTTACTATTGCTTTAATACAAAGCAATTAGGCAAGAAAGAAAAAGGAATTCAAACTGGAAAGGAAGATGTAAAACCATTTTTTTTTGTAGATGACTTGATCTTATAGTTAGAAAACTGTAAGGATTCCATTAAAACAATGAGAACTAGAGTTCTATCAGAAAACTAATCGAGGGGGGCACCTGGATGGCTCAGTTGGTTAAGCAACTGCCTTTGGCTCAGGTCATGATCCCGGAGTCCCAGCATTGAGGGCCACATCAGGCTCCCTACTCAGTGAAGTGTCTGCTTCTCCCTCTGACCCTCTCCCTTCTCATTCTCTCTCTCTGCTCTCAAATTTAAAAAGAAGAAGAAGGAGGAGGAGGAAGACAAGGAGGAGGAGGAGGAGAAAAGAAAACTACTAGAGGGGCACCAGGATGGCTAGTCAGTAGAGTATGCAACTCTTTATCATGAGTCCAAGTCCAATGAATTCAACCCCCACACTGGGAATACAGATTACTTAATAAAAATAATAAAGTAAAAGAACCTTCAAAAAAAAAAAGAAGAAAACTACTAGAAAAGAGTTCAACAAGTTTGAAGAATAAAAGATCAATTACAAAACTCATTGTATTTCTATACATTAGCAGTGAGTAACCTGAAAATAAAATTAAGAAAATAATTCCATTTACCACCACATCAAAAAAAAAAAAAAAGAATACTTAGAAATAAATTTAATAAGAGAGATGTAAAACGTGTACTCTGAATATTACAAAATGTTACTAAAGAAAACCTAAAAATTCTGGTCACATTTATGGGATCAGAAGACAATATTGTTAAGATGGTGATACCTCCCAGAGATTCAATGGACTTGACTTTTTAAACAAAACAACCAATAATTATTTTGTAGAAATTAAAAAAAAAAAAAACCCTAAAATTCACATGGAATCTCAAGGTCCCTTGAATAGCCAAAACAATCTTGAAAAAGAAAAAAGTTAGGGGCGCCTGGGTGGCTCAGTGGGTTAAACTTCTGCCTTCTGCTCAGGCCATGATCTCAGGGCATCGGGCTCTCTGCTCAGCAGGGAGCCTGCTTTCCCCCTCTCTCTCTGCCTGCCTCTCTGCCTACTTGTGATCTCTCTCTCTCTCTCTCTCTGTCAAATAAATAAATAAAGTGTTTTAAAAAAAAAAGAAAAGAAAAAGTTAGAGGACTCACACTTCCATGTTTCAAAACTGACCACAAAACTACAGTAATCAAAACAGTGTAATACTGGATAAACACAGATACATAGATCAATGGAACAGAACTTAAGAGTCCACAAATAAATCACTATTATTTAGGGTCAATTGATTTTTTTTTTAAGATTTTATTTATTTGACAGACAGAGATCACAAGTAGGCAGAGAGGCAGCCGGGGCGGGGGCGGGGGGGGGGGCGGGAATCAGGCTCTCCGCTGAGCAGAGAGCTCGATGCGGGGCTCGATCCCAGGACCTAGGGATCATGACCTGAGCCGAAGGCAGAGGCTTTAACCCACTGAGCCGAAGGCAGAGGCTTTAAACCACTGAGCCGCCCCTACAGTCAACTGATTTTTGATAAGGATGCAAAGAGGTAGGGAAAGAACAGTCTAACAGAAAATGGTGTTGGAAAAACTGAATATCCACATACAAAACAATGAAATTGAACCCTTGCTTTATTCTATATAGAAAAATCTACTTAAAATGGCTCAAAGACCTAAAGGCAAGAGATAAAACTGTAAAATCTTAGAAGAAAACATAGGAGAAAAGCTTCATGACTTTGGATTTGGTAATAATTTCTTGGATATGATACCACAAGTATAAGCAACAAAAGGAAAAGCAAACAAATTGGACTCCATCAAAATTAAAAACTTTTGTGCAAACAATGCTATCAACACAGTGAAAAGGCAACCCTAAGGAATCAGAGAGAGTTTTTGCAAATTATATATCTGATAAGGGATTAATACCCAGAGTATATGCAAACTCCTACAACTTAATAATAAACAACCCGGGGCGCCTGGGTGGCTCAGTGGGTTAAAGCCTCTGCCTTCGGCTCAGGTCATGATCTCAGGGTCCTAGGATCGAGCCCCACGTCGGGCTCTCTCCTCCACAGGGAGCCTGCTTCCTCCCCTCTCTCTCTGCCTGACTCTCTGCCTACTTGTGATCTCTCTTTCTGTCAAATAAATAAATAAAATCTTTAAAAGTAATAATAATAATAAACAACCCAATTCAAAAATGGGCAATGGACTTGAGTAGACTTTTCTAAAGATTGACTGTTTGTTGATTGATTGATTTTTAGGGTGCTGTTAGGGAGAGATTCCTGAGTGCAGTGGGGGGAAGAGGAGAGGGAGAATCTCAAGCAGATTCCTCACTGAGCACAGACCCTGACTTGGGCTTTATCTAATGACCTCAAGATCATGACCTGAGCCAAAATCAAAAGTTGGACGCAAAAACATAAAATTACCATATGACCCAACAATTCTACTTCTAGCTATATACCCCCAAAAATTGAAAACAGTAACTTAAACACTTGTATGTCAATGTTCATAGCACCATTTTTCACAATAGCCAAAAGATGGTAACTCAGTGTCCATCAACACATGAATGGACAAACAAATTGCATTGTATACTTATATACAATGCAACATTATTCAGCCATAAAAAGTAATGATGTTCTGATAACAGGGTACAACATGGATGAAAAACATGTTAAGTAAAAGAAGTCCATCTCAGAAAACCACACATGGTATGTGATAAATATGATCAACTACAATAGGCAACTCTATAGAGACAGAAAGTAGATTAGTGGTTGCCAGGGGGGTGGGGGAGGCAGAGGTTAGGGGAGAAAGGGCATTGACAGCTAATTAAGTATAGGGTTTCATTACAGAGGGATGAAAATGTTCTAAAACTGACCATGGTTATGGTTTACAGCCCTGTGAATGTGCTAAAAATCAGGGAGTTGTACACTTTAAATGGCTGAACTATATGGTATACGAATTGTATCTCAATATAAGTTGTTTTAAAGAAACTTAACTATAAGAATAGAAATCCTGCAATAGAAATCTTTTTGTATAACCAGAGATGCACCAAGATAACCCATCCCCATCCTGCTCTACAAAAGCAGTATCCTATTTATTCAGCATGGGAAAAACGACTTCCTCCTACCACCCACAGTTTCACATCTATGCACTAGGCAAAAATTCTCTCAAAACTATCAGATCATTTCTTTATTTAAAAAAAAAAAAAACAAAAAACAGTTGTACCTTAGCTTCTAAACCTAATTTCATTTGGCTCTACTTCCTAGGAAAATTAACAGTACCAATCTGTTTACAAAGGTTGAAGGTTGGCCTAGGAATGGCACTTGGGAGGCTGTAACTGCTCAGAACAAGGTTTCTTAATTGGGAATCATGAGTCCCTTAAATTTGAACTCAAAATACTGTACATAAATTTTTCTAAGAATATCCATACTCCTATCTTTCATCAGATTTTCGTAAGGGTCTAAGACCCAAAAAGGAGAATCTATGGCTTAGTTCAACCAACTGTGTTTTTGCATCATTTATCTCCCTCACACTTTGTCATTGTAAAATAAGAAAGCTGGCTTCTCTCTCACAAGGTAGAAGAATTACAAAGCTCAAGGTAACCAGTTACTTATCACATGAGCAACTCATTTTTTGTTTCAATCAAAGACATGCCCAAAGAGTCAAATTTTTAGAAGGTGGCTCTAAAATGAATCAAGGAATCAAAAATTCTAAGTTGAATAGGGGAAAATACTGTTTTACTCTTTTTTCCTATTAATAATTCCAGAGAACCATTTATTTCTTTAAAAACAAAAAACAATAATCCTCATGTACCTACTATGTGTCAGACATAATGTCAGGAGCTGAGGACACACTAGTGGAATCAGTCTAAGCCCTTAAAGAGCTTATAGCATAGTAATGAAAACCTTTTTTTTTTTTTTAAAGAACAAGAAATGAGAATTCATGGTATAATACATATAATACATCCATGGCAAATAATACAATATATACACAATACATAATATACATAATACAGTAATACATCCATGGCAAAACCTTTTCCCTCAGGACTAGCTCCTTGGGAAACTAGAACATCTTGTAAAGCTTCTCTTTTTTGAGACATACAATACTTTTTTGAGACATACAATACTTTTCAATTCATATGATTTCCCTCCTAAATCTTATTTTACAGAAATCCAGTATACATTACAGCTTCCGGGGCCCAATGTGTTTCAGTATGTAAAGAGTACTTATTTCAGCATATGTCATGTATAAAAGGAAGTAACAGCTCTAAATGAGACAAAGTTCACTCTTAAAATTCCAATTCCTCATCCTTCTTTATTTTCGTATCTTAAAAACTCACAAGACACATTTGTTAACCAAAACCAGTCTCTAATAAATCATGACAGATCCGGAAAAGTACCAATCTAAGGTAATATGAAATAAAAAACTTAAAATTCTGAATTGCAAACATAATACCAGACTGAGAAACAGGTAGAGAAAATTCTAGTCTTCAAAAGAATCCTTTCTAATTGGATTACTCTTTCCCTAATATCTAAATACTTTACTAGTAAGTACTTCCTCTAGAATCTATTTCACTAGTAAATACTTGCGTTCTATTTCCATCCAAATATACACTCTTACCTGATCATATTCTGAAGCACCAGGATAAAGAGGCCATCCCAGGAACAGCTCAGCTATCACACAGCCCAATGACCACATATCAATAGCTTCACAAAATGGTAATCCAAGAATAATTTCAGGGGCTCTAGCAAAAACAAAAATAGCAAATTAAAAAACAAATATTATTTGGGGAAATTAACTATGTTGACTAAGCCCTGTTTTAGTACCAGCTCAAGGTACATATTGATTTAAAGAAACTGAAAACTATCTTTGATATAAAAATCCATCATTTGAAACTTCTGGGGCCAGATGTGTTGTGGAATTGAAAGTTTTTTTGAATTTCAGAAAGGTATCACCATACATAAAACTACATATTGCATAGTAATCCCAATGGAGTTTAGGGAAGCACCCCAAAACCAAACACATTAGTATTTCCACAGTGAAACAATTGAACAGTCATACTAAGTTGGCTAAATAAAGACTTAAATTGCCTTACATTAGTTCCAGACAGAGTTTGCCAATAAATGAGCTTATGCCAAACTTAAAGTTTTTTAATTTTGAAATCTGAATTTTGAAATCACAGATAAGGGATCACAAATTTATTCTTTTTATTCTTAGCACCTTTTTAATTATAGAAAAAAATTAAGTGACCTGATCAATAAATATCCCTTGGTAACAGAAATGCCTTCTGTAGAGATACCGTGGTTGAAAGCACTATAGAAATATTCACTTCCATTAATGCTCCAAGTGAGAAACCAAACTCTATGGAGCCTTGAAGAGAAGACTAAGATAATACCATAAACTAAAAGCTTTATATATATATGAACATACCTAAGATAAAATCATTACCCACTTGGGTGCCTGGGTGGCTCAGTGGTTTAAGCCTCTGCCTTCTGCTCAGGTTATGATCCCAGGGTCCTGGGATTGAGTCCACATCGGGCTCTCTGCTCAGCGGGGAGCCTGCTTCTCCCCCCTCTCTCTGTCTGTCTCTCTACCTACTTGTGATCTCAATGTCAAATAAATAAATAAAATCTTAAAAAAAAAAAATCATTACCCACTTACAGAGGAAACTGAGGCAAACAGAGTAAGTAATTCGCCCAAAATTACAGTTAGTAAGTGGAAGGGCTAGAATTTGAACCCTGGCAATCTGGGCCCAGAGTTGTATTGTACTGTCTCCAAAAAAGTAAAATCTATTTGGCATGGTAGTATACATGGCATTTTTTAAACCGTGACTAAAATTATGAGATAAATGGGTTTAAAAGGGGGATGATAATAACAGGTTATTACTAATATCGATAATAATAAAAGATGACACTCATATAGCGCTTACTCTGTGCTGCTCACTGTTATAAGTTCTTTACAAATGTGGTCACTTACTCCTTACAACAATCCTATGAAAATAGATACTACTACTGTTAAGTCATCAGTTCTTTTTTTTTTTTTTTTAAAGTAGATTCCATGCCCTGCATGGAGTCCAGCATGGGGCTTGAACTCACAACCCTGAGATCAAGAGTCAGATGCTTAACCAACTGAGCCACCCAGGTGCCCCGTCATCAATTCTAAGGTGCACGTTTTCTTTCATATTTTAACATCTCTAAAATCAAGAAAATTCTTGCAAATGATGAGTATTTTAGCTTAATGGCAGTGCTTTTACCTTCTTATTGGTACATAAATGTTTCAACCTCCAATCAATGGTATCTTAGATGCTACGTAATAAAGGATCCTTTCCATTTTACAGATGAAGAAACTGGGCACTGAAAAGTTAGGTAACTCACCCAAGGCCACATAATTACTAACTGATGGAGCACAGGCAATATGAATCTAAGAGCTGAGCTCATAAACATTCTATCATCATCTCCAGACAATTTCCTTCCTTCTTATAAGTCATAGAATTAGAATCTGTAAGGGCACACCAAATCCAGACCCTTGGCAGATCTCTCTCCACAAGGAGCCCTCTAACAGACTGTGTCCCCTCATGGTGTGCCTAGGTTTCTCCAACTTTTAAGTATTATGTGCACGCTGCTGCTCTGTGGCAGGGAGGACTGAGCAGGGGGCTGTATAAAGGATATTTCCTTAAATAAGAATATCCTCCCCGAAGTAATTTTCTAAGTAAGTAGCCCTTAGAAAATAAGGTAAATTAGAGGACTTCACAGGATCCAAAGGCTTTCCTGATCCTAGAACAGGAAGAGCAGAAGACTGATCCAGGCATGCTAAGACTTCACTATTTGACAGCTATCTGTGGAAAGACTAATATCACCAGTTTTTATACTAATTGATGTGAACTGTGGTTTTGTTAGCCAAAGAAATAAACTTCAAAAGGTATATTCCTGTTGCAGGTGGCTAGAGCGACATATTACTGATGAAATTTCAGAGTTTAATTAAATCCCAACCACGGTAGCATGTTTTTAAGATGGCACAAGTTTAATAGCATTAATAAACTAGAGCATAAGAGTATCCAGAAACATAAAAGCTTTTCTAAAATTGAAAAGGGACAAAATTTTTACTTTCAGTGAGCAGAATCATTAATTTCCAAGTTCATGACAGTGCCAAAAATAGCTGGCAGGGAGCGTGCAAATGGCTTTGTGCCAAAATAAAAACTGGGCTTAGAACATTCCTAAGCATCAATTGAAGAGCAGCAGATTGATTTTTGCCATTCCCACTATTCCAGGAAGACATTTTAAAATCCAAAGGTAGGTCATAGGGAGGGGCAGGCCACCCAATAACTTATTTCTTTAGAAAGGTAGCAAAAATATGTGATAACTATTTAGGCTTTCAAAGCTTAAAGTTTCAGGGAAATTAAGAAAAGCATTAATTCCAGCCCCCAGTCCCATTAGACAAAAAAATCCCCTCAAGACTGACTGGAATCAGTTTTTCCATTTGGTCTCACTCTGCTTCCGGAATAACAAAAGCAGCTAAGGATTTCCAGCAAAAACTCACTTAAAACAGTAACTCTACCACATCTACCATATAAAAAGGTAAGTATCAAAGAAAAAAAAAAAAAAACAAAGAAAAATAAAATGAGGTTGCTCAGTCTACTGAGGGATTTTCACTATCATCACAAACTAGAAATACTGTCTGACCTAAACTCTAGGAAGCAAAAAGACTGAGATTATTTTCTTTTACTGAACAGAACAGAACTTTTAAAGCAGGTTCACCTCTAAAGACTGAATGTTTTAAACTCTGAATTCAGATTATAATTCTTGGTGCTATCTTCCTTACTGTATCATCTTTCCCCTTGCCCCCCATTATTTCTCAGTCCTTCAACATAAACTCTCAACACTAAAATTCTGCTTCTACTTCATCTGTTAGGGAGGCTGAGTGAAGTTAATTACTCTTCTAGGTCCCACTCCAGCTCTGACATTCTAACAACTGAACATTTAAAAAGATAACCTATAGAAACACATGGAAGAGAGGGAAAAAACCAAACTGGCGGTATTCACTTTTGTAGGAAAATGGCATTAACTGTACTTTGGACTTAGTGGGTCTCCTCTTTGAAAATACATCCCACCCTTAAAGAACAAAAACTAAGCAGGCTGTAATGACTAAAACCAGGTGGCAGAAATAGCAATTCTTGCCTTTTGATTTTCCAACTTCAAATTTCTTTAAACTAAAAAAACCCTCCAAAGCCAAAAAGCATTATTTCACTAGAACATGGAGTAAGTTGTGGTTAGGATCACTTAACAGCACAAATTAAACCCTGCTCATTATCATGAACACTCTTGTTTCTTCCTGCCCATCTCAGAGGCATCAAACTTACTTACCAGATCAGAGATATTACATAAAGCCTAACTTCCTGCATCTGTGGCTTAGGTGAAACTGTTTATTTGTCTATGTTAAAATGAAAATATTCTTTCCTTCTCTAGCCCTTGTCCTTCCATATATAACAAATACAGTGATCTCAACTTTAATAAAGCCAGTTAATTTGTTCAGAATGGAAAAGCACTAAGCTTGTAAACATGGCAAACCCTTGTGCCTAAACTCAAGCCCCAAAGACAGCAACTTCTTTGGAAGTAGTCTGCAAACACATTTATAGTGTCCAGGAAATAAAGTATACTATTTCCATTGGCTAAGGCATTTAGCCAAGCCGATGGCCAACAGAGAAGTATGGTGGCAAAAATTTATGTCAACTGATAATATTTTGGCATGTAATCAGGAAGATGAAGCAATGTAAACTAAAAAGGAAGGTAAGAGGAACTCTGGCTTTGGAGCCAGGATGCTTCACTGGCCAAAGAGATTTCACAGAGGTTTTCTGAAAGACATCAGGGTGAGGACTTAACAGTCTCTAAAAGCAACGCAAAGAAGACCACTGTGGATAAAATTAATGGTAAAGAAGGAATACCTGAGCTGCTATTCCATTGGCCTGAGGTTCCTTATCAAGTATTACTGTGACATAAGAACATATTCATGTTAAATTCCAAATGGAAAAAAAAATCCTAAATGCAGTTAAGCCCTGGACACTGAACTTCAGTATGCACAGTAATTACTCAGTAATATGCAGAAAGAACTCCTGTTTTTAAGGGGTAAACTGAGCTCCAGTCACAATTACTCCTCTAGTTGAGAACTAAATGCAATGGATCTGCAGGATGACTTGTTGAAGAGTAATTACCAGTGGACTTAAAAATCTGAAAATCGTTATCTCCTATAAAAACAAAACATAATCGAATTACTCAAATGACAGCTGAAATTAAATCAAAAGGAAAGGGTGCTTGGGTGGCTCAGTCAGTTAAGCATCTGCCTTTGGCTTAGGTCATGATCTCAGTGTCCTACAGTCAAGCCCCATGAGCCCCATGTTGAGTTCTCTGCTTGGCAGGGAGTCTGCTTCTTCTCACTCTTCCTATGTGTTCTCCCCCTCTCTCAAATAAATAAAATCTTTTAAAAAAATTAATCAAGGGGCACCTGGGTGGCTCAGTCAGTTAAGCATTTGCCTTCATCCTGGGATCCAGCCCCACATCTGGCTTCCTGCTCAACAGGGAGTCTGCTTCTCTCTCCCTCTCCCCGCAGCTCATGCTCTCTCTCTCTCTCTCTCTCAAATAAATTAAAAAAAAAAAAATCTTAAAAAAAAAGTCATCAAAAGGATAGGAAAAGGGGCAAAGACCAGCAACCTAACACTGAAAATTATTCAAATGAATTACTTATTAGGGAAAGCTAAGCAGCCAAAACTATTTACCCTTCAAATCTCCTTTACCCTTTAAGAGAAAATTCCATCAAAATTATTTCACAAAATAATTCTTACTTCTATTGCTTTTTCAATCTTAACATTGGCTTCCATTACCACAGACAAGGCAACGAGTTAAAGAACACCTGCAGGCACTGACTGGAGAAGAGATCAAGAAGCAAGAGCTGATCAGCCTCCACACCCTTCAGCAGTGCCCTTCCTCCTACCTCCCCAGTGCTCCAAAGGAGATGCAGAACTGAGCTTTAAGTGCACCTGTAGAGTGTTTCTGTATATATACCTGAGTGGGTGGTGGTGGGAATGCTCAAAGGAGAATACTAAAAGAAAAAGTAATCAGAACCTAAATCTTCTAAGTCGTGAATAACTAAATGGAGGTGAGAGTTACAAAAATAGCCGAACTGCCTAGAGCATAATGAAATGAGAAACCAAGGCCGTAGGAATCTCTTTACTCTATCTCACTCAAGAAATAATCAGAGTTTTACAAAACTATAAAAGGAAAAGATAAAAATAGAGAAGAATGGATTGGAAGACATAATGCTGTGAAGATGTCATTACTACCCAAAGTGATTTACAGATTCAGTGCAATCCCTTCAAAAACCAATGATGTTTCTTGTAGAAATAGAAGAATCCATCCTAAAATTCATATGGAATCTCAAGAGACTCCAAATAGCCAAAACTTGATTTAAAATTTTTAAAACTTACTACCAAGCTACCGGTAATCAAGACCGTGTGGTACTGGCATAAAGACAGACATACAGACCAATAGAATAGAGAAGAAAGCCAAGAAATAAACCCCTGTATTTGTGGTCAATGAATTATGACAAATGTCAAGACCTTTCAATAGAGAAAAGATAGTCTTTTAAGCAAATGGTGCTAGGAAAACTGAATATTCACAGGCAAAAGAATGAAACCGAATCCCTAACTTACACCATATACAAAAATTAACTTAAAAATAGACCAAAGACCCAAGTATAAGAGCTATCAATGTCTATATTCTTACATTCTTTTAAATAAGAGCTAAAAACTGTATAACTCTTAGAGGAAAACAAATGGGAAAAAGTTTCATGACATCAGTTTGACAATGATTTCTTAGATAGAATACCAAAAGTATAAGCAACAAAAAACACCAACTGAACATCAATAAAATTTAAAACTTCTGTGCAAATACCACTGACAAAATAAATAGGCAACCCCATGGAATGAGCGAATACATTCGCAAATCAACTATCTGCAGAGGGATTAATACTTAGAATATATAACTCTTACAACTCAACCAAAAAAAGAAAAAATCTAATTCAAAAATGGACAAAGGACTTGAACAGACATCTCCCCAAAGATGCACAGATGTGCAATAAATGAAAAGATGGTCAGGGCACCTGGGTGGCTCAGTCATTAAGCGTCTGCCTTCAGCTCAGGTCATGATCCCAGGGTCCTGGGATCAAGCTCTGCATCAGGCTCCCAGCTCCACAGGAAGCCTGCTTCTCCCTTTCCCACTCCCCCTACTTATGTTCCCATTCTCTCTGTCAAATAAATAAATAAATAAAACCTTAAAAAAAAAGATAAAATAAAATAAAAAGTGAAAAGATTCTCAGCATCATTAATCATTAGGTAAATGTAAATCAAAACCACATGAATACCATTTCATACACATAAGAATGGCTATTATCCCCCCAACTTCAAAAAAGAAAAAAAGGGGGAAAAAAGCTGTTGATGAGGAGGTGGAGAAACTGGAATCTTTATGCATTACTAGTGGAAAATAGTTTGGTGGTTCCTCAAAAAGTTAAACATAGAATTACCATATGATCCAGTTCTTTTTGGCTATATACTTTTGGCTATATACCCACCAAAAGAATGGAAAACAGGGACTTAAACTCGAACGCTAATGTTCTTTGTAGCATTATTCATAATAGCCAAAAATCTGGAAACCCAAGAGAATGGATAAACAAAATCTAGTACATACATGCACTGGAATATTATTTAGTCATGAAAAGGAATGAAATTCTGATACATTTTATAGTATGGCTTAACCTTGGAAACATTATGCTAAGTGAAATAAACCAGACACAAAGGGACAAATATCAAATACTGTATAATTCCACTTACATGCAGTATCTAGATAGGCAAATTCATAGGGATAGAAAGTCAAATAGAGGATAGATACCAAGGGTAGGGGAAAGGTGGGAGTTAATACTCAATGGTCACAGAGCTTCTGTTTTGGGTTATAAAAAAAATTTAGTAGTGGTGATGGTTACACAACACGGTGAATGTCCTTAATGACACTGAATGGTTTATTTAAAAATCATTAAAATGGTAAACTTCATGTTAGGCAGATTTTACACAATTAGGAAAAAAATATATAGATGGCATCTCTTCTGAGCCTTGTACAGATTAAAATATCCTATTATTTTCACACAATATAAAATTCTAAGCTGAGACTTTCTATTTACTCAAAAGTTAATATAGGCATTTGACAGATTATCTCTTGATAAACATATCTCCTGATAAACACATGTGGATTACCTATTTTTTTTGTTTATTGTTTCACTTCTTGATTGGGTGAGTGAGCAATCGTATTTAATGATCATTAAAATTAAGTATCAGATTCCTTAAAATTTGTAACTAGACAAATAGATAAATAAATGAGGTACTGAGGAAATAAAAGCTCATTTAAGAAGACTTCCCCCTTTTCTTTCAGTAAATCTTCTTGGTTATAGCACAGACAACATTGTATATACCGACATTTAAGAGCTGTCCTAATAATCATTATGTACTAAAAAGGCAGCTTTGTTAGACATATCAATCTGGAAATATAAATCACTAAAGTATAAGGCACTTAGGTCAAGGACATTCTAGGATAACCAAATAAGGTCATAACCGAATAAGTTCGAACTATTATGGAGATGTTAAAACAGGAAGTGCCCTTAGCAATCATCAGATCCAATTCTATTACAAAAGAAAGAAAACGTCAAAGAATGAAATGTTGCTAGAGTTAAACCTGGAATTATTCCCAAGGCATCTTACCTGCCAAAAAAGGAACTTGAAAAAAGTAGCAGCATATGCCCAAATTCATTACAAGTAAGTAAACATCTTTATATTTTGAAAGACTCTTTAAAATGGGAAAACTAGGTATAATGGTACTAAAGAAGGAACCAGATGCTAGTATAATTCAACTAGGAACAACCTTCAGAATCGGACTGAATTAGATTTTCTAGTGTTAAATAATAACTTCAGAAATAAGACAATATTACATATAGGAATGCCAGACAAGAAATGAAGTAAAACATATTATCCTATTCTACTTTGGAATCTGTAAATAAACTCATTGTTTGTTATATGTGACTCTATGTAATATATGTTAAGTACAGAGACAGATCTTTAGTCTAAGATATGCTTTTTTAGCATTTGCCACTTGCCTGTAGTAACGTGACTGTAAGTAGGTTGAGCACACAGCTTTGGAAACGTGACTAGCAGAACCAAAGTCAATGACCTTCACTCGGTAGGGTTGGCGCACTGGATCGACCAGCATTATGTTTTCAGGCTTAAGGTCAGCGTGAATCAGACCAAGGCTCTTGAGCTTCATCAGGGCTGTGGCCACCTGCTGCAAGATTGGTCTGATGTACTTGAGTGGCAGTGGGCTAAACTTGTTCTGCTTTAGAAAATCATACAAGTTCTGCTCCAGCATCTCAAACACAAGGCAGGTGTGATTCTTATGCTGAAAGCACTCATAAGAACGAACAAAATTATACTCATCAGCATTTTCACTGCTTAGGCGAGAAAGGATGCTCACTTCAATCTGTCCTTGTCTGGCATAGGAGGGGTGGTTCTTCAAGATTTTAATAGCCACAATTTCCTTCGTGCTCCGCTTCCAGCACTTAGCCACCTGTCCAAATGTTCCCCGGCCTAGGAACTCCAACACTTCATAGCTATTGGTCATAGAGCAAAGGATCTCATGCTGGACCAGCTGGTAGTCCCCTTCTCCACTGGAACTGCTACTCTTTGTGGTCACAGTGGTGGTCGTGGCAGCAGCACCCACCACAGTCCTGTTTTGCAGCATGAGAGGGGGATGTTCTTCTATGATTTGCACGCTACCGTTGCTGTCAACTTCCTCACTTTTTCTTTTCAATCCACATTTTTGATATGGCTCAAGCAAAGAAACGTTGTTTCTGTGAGTCAGGGTCTGGCTGCTTTGGAAGGTTGATGGAGCAGCACTGGCCGAGCTATCAGCAGCTGTTACAACAATATGCTCCACTGCAGGAGCTGGGAGAAGGAGGCCCTGGTCGTAGGCAGGGATATTGAAATTTGCTACCTGGTGAGAGGAGTTGGCTTGCCCTTGTGTGGCTGGGAGGGTTTTGCTGTGGGTATAATATTTGTCGTTGCTGCTCTGTCCAGAAACATCCCAGCCAGAGGGCTCAATTTTCAGTTTCTTCGCACTGCAGAAGGCACTCGACGACACTGATGGGGGGGAAAACACCTGCAGCTGTGATGCCATACCTACGTTGAGAGAGAGGAAGAATTAGACCCTCAATTTTACACAACCCCTCAATTAACAGAGCAGAAGACTTTTAGTTTAGAAAAACCACAAGTAAAGTATAACTACCTGCCTGGGGTTTTATTTTATACATTTTCCAAAACACATTTCCTATTACAGAAGGATCAGTTTTTTGGTCAATCTCACACTCTTAATCACTCTTCAAGACTCAGCAACAGGTGGTCATATTGTTAAAAGAGCATGAACATCTATGACGGTTTATAAAATAATAACCATAATAATAATAATGGCTTAGAAGACTGATCACTTACTATGTGTCAAGTAGTTGTCTAAGCACTTCACATACATTACTCTGTTAATTGTCACCACAACTCTTTGGAAGAGATACTATCATTATTTATACTTTACAGATGAGGAAACTAAGATACAGAGTGGATAAAGTAACTTGCCCAAAACAGCAGAGCTATTAAGTAGCAGCACCAAGCTCTTTGGCCGGAGAGCTCATTCCACAGCTCTGTGTTCACTCCTGCCCTGATGAGCTTTTTGATCAACTATTTAAATTGAGACCTAGAAGGCACACTTACAAAATTTAGAGAGGAATCAAATTTGGGCGCATACTCAATATTTGCTAAGTATCAGGTCCAAAAAGACCACAATAGGGTAGAAACTACAAGACAAAACTAGCAGATGAAATTTAACACAAATAGAGAATCCTACATAGTGCAAAATATGACTAGCACAAAGCAGAAGGATAAGAAATACAAGGTTTAGTGGGAGCACATGTATATGAAAGACACTTTCAGTTGGTAAGAGAAACATATAATGTTCCCCCCTACACACACACACCAAAAGCTAATTCAATCTTAAACTACATTCATAGAAATAGTGTCCAGAATGTACTGGACAAAGTGGATGCTATCTACTCTGTTCAGTTAACTATTTTAATAGTGTCTAGCTCTGTCCACTATAATGTAAGGGGACCACAGATAAAATGACCAGAAAACAAGATGGTGTGAAGCCTATCGAGAGGATCTTCTGAAGAACCACAGGAAGTTATTCTTAGAAAAACATGGAGAAAGGGAGTAAAACAGCCCAATTTTCTGTCCTGGAACATCCCATAAACACCTCAAGCTCAATAAACCCCAAGACTTCCAAAGCTAATACTTTCAGAAAAAAGTTGAAACAACTGACAGAACAAGCCATTCCTATTTATCTTCCCCTTCTCAATCATATAACCCTCAGATGCTGTGGGGGTCTATATTAATTCTTCCCTTGTCCATACTTTCCCTCTTCCCAATAACTTCTTCCCAGGATTAGTCATCTGCAAAAGAGTTTCAAATCTTTATTTCTAACCCAGACTTCTCTCTCCTCAACTCCAAATTCTTATTTCCAAATAACATTCCACACTGCAATTTGGGTATCCTGCAGACATCCCAAATTTAACAAGTCCAAAATTAATCTTATGAGCCTCCACCCAACCCCCAGTCTTCTAACTCAATTATGATACTACATCTTAAGCCAAAAATCAGAGAGGCAATGAGTCTCCCTCATCTATAAATTGGTGATAATACTTAACTCATGGGATTATTCTGAAAATTAAATTGTTTAATACATGTACAGTCTCAGTGCCTGGAATTCATTTAGTAGTATTATCCTGAAACCTCCTCCTCCCTTATTACTCCACCTCTAATCTATAACCAAATCTTACCAATTCTACCTCCTAAGTATATTTCAAAATCAGCCATTTTTTTCCTACCCCTTTTGGGACCATTCTAGTTCAAATAGCCAATAGCCTCCAAACTAATCCTGAATGCACTCTGGGGATCTTTGTTTTTAAACTATGCAAATCAGATGACTGCTCTTTCCTTCTTAACCACCTTCCTCCCCCTGCCTTCAGGGTTTTCCACTGCTTTGTGGATAAAGTCCAAAATCCTCAATCTGCCTTAAAACGCTCTCCAAAAATCTGGTTGTTGTCTTCCAGAATCTCCTCACCTTGATTCCTCCATTCCGGCCATCCTGCCCTTTTCAGTTCTTGGAAGGCCCTCTAATATGGTGCAGATTTTCTTCTGCGAAAACCATTCATTCACACACACACACACACACACACACCCCTCACACACATACACCCCACAACTACCACCCACCCCCCACCCACCATGCATTCCCATAGCATCCTGTTCCTCCCTTACAACTCAAAATTATTTACTTAATGTTACTCACATTTCCAGCTACAGTATTAATTCCATGATAGGTGCCATACAGGTCTTGTTCTTTGCTTATAGCATCAGAAACTACTGCACAAACCCTGGCAATATTCAGACATGCAGTATTTATTGGATGATTTCGACCCCTGCCTACCAACCTTGTATCTACTCCCTACCACTCATATAAAACTTCAGGATTTTCAAATGCTTGGTTTTATTTTTCAAATATCCCTCCCTTTTCTCTGTGCATCTTTGAGATATAGAGGGAGTCTCCACTCCACTACACATAGTTTAATTTTACTAGTCATAAGAGAATAAACACACACAAGAAAGGAAGGAAGCATGACAAAGGATGTTACAGAACATAAAAAAGCAATGTGTACATTTCTTTGTGCCTGAATGCAACTAAAAACCATCTGCACTGGACTAGACAGCTGGAACGAAGAACAAATCCTCAGCCTTCGATTTCTAAAATGTGGCCTGGATTTACTTTAAACAAGTTTTTTCATAATTTATATGAATCCTGAAGAGAAAAAAAAGTGTAAATTAAAAGCTAAAGCCAGTGCAATTTAAGTCCAAGACTACGAATTTACAAGTCCTCTTGTTCTGCCTATATCACTGACATAATGCCAAATTAAAATAAAAGAAAGGGGCGCCTGGGTGGCTCAGTCATTAAGCATCTGCCTTCTGCTCAGGTCATGATCCCGGGCTCCTGGTTTGGAGTCCTGGGATCCAGCTCGCATGGAGCTCCCTGCTCCGTGGGAAGGCTGTTTTCCCTCTCCCACTCCCCCAGCTTGTGTTACCTCTCTCGCTGTGTCTCTCTCTGTCAAAAAAATAAATAAAATCTTTTTTAAAAAAGAAGTGAAAAGAAAAATCTGAAACCAAGCAGTACCTTTACAAAATTTACCCATTAAAATATAGGCAAAAAAACTTCTCACCTATTATAAAACTGAGCCAATTTTTAAACAATGAAAGGAAGCAAATTTTTGAAATTTGTTTTCCATTGCATATCTGTTGAGATATTAATTTTAACAACCTATCAATAAACAGGAGCACAACCTTTATGTGCCTAAAAGTATTTGATAAAAAAATTGAATACAAAATGTGCAGTTTGTAGCTATATCCAGGAATATGAAAGTTTAAAAAGTTAATAAATCTATAAAGAATTCATGAAGTATAATACCAATTTTTTAAAAAAATATGTTCATAACTAGACACTTTAAAATACTGCATTTACCAGAGTAATGTTATGGACAACTTTTCACCCAATAAATAAAATAACAGATACAGATGGTTTCAAGTCTTCAGTGAGCGCTGCAAAATGCATAAGTTCTAGGAATTTTTCTAAAAGCTTAAGGATATAAATGGACGTGATTCTTATTCAGTATGACAAACTTTTAAGTCTATCCACAGGGAAAGAACCACCCAGAATTTGACTGGCTTTCCCCACAGTAAGGGTGAGTGATACTTAAGTCAGTACTATGCCAGTGTGGCTGGGACTCACCCTAACCTCAACAAGCACAAGGTGAGAAGAAAATACAAAATCAAACCTGCCTGGAAAAATAAACACTCTTGGGACACCTGGGGGGCTCAGTTGGTTAAGGATCTGCCCCCAGGTCATGATCTCAGGGTCCTGGAATTGAGTTCCGTGTCAGGATCCCTATTCAGTGGGCAGTTGCTCCCTCTCCTTTTGCCCCTCCCCACTACTCATGTTCTCTCTCTCTAATAATAAATAAAATCTTTAAAAAAAGAAAAAGAAAAATCAATACTCTTATCTATATGACATCCTGAAATTCAGCTAAAAGCAGCCATTCTTAGACATAAGATACAGATACTATGTTCCAGAAAACCGCCTTTGCAAAATGCGGAAGAAATTTTCTTCCTAAGGTGAGGCCTCCCCAACAAAAATATGGAACAGAATTAACATCTGCAGAAAACTTACTATGTATCAGACTCTGTTAAGTTACGAATATTACCAATTCGCAGGAGAGCAGTGCCCAATAAATTACTTGGGACTTCCTAAAAATGTTGCACCTCTTGACTCTAGTAATACACGTCTTTTCATTTCAAATCTGATTTCCAAGGATTTAACTATCTAAGTATATTGACAAATTTGGCCACTGTATTCATGGGGAACTAGAACTAACAGGCAAAGGGTTACTAGCATTTGTACTTATTGCTAAAGAGAACTGAGTCTTGCTAGAACCTACAGCTTTCAAAAACAGTCATATTAAAGGCTTCCCTACTCCCTGCCATGGTCACATCTACTGAACATCTACAGGGTGCCCCACATTATGGGCACTACAGGTAGCTAATATTACTACAAAGGATTCAAATATTACAACTATGAAAGGAGAAGTGAGTTATGACAACCAATGTAATCATTTGTCAGTGTTCTACCCTTCCTTTCCAGGTAACTTACATCTTCCACACCAATAATAAACTCCTACTGCTTTTGCTTAGCATCATCTTTGCCTCTTTGATACAATTTAACAATTGGTGACCTAAATAACCTAAAATCAGTACTGTAAATTGATTGCTTCCTCTGGCACTTGTCCTCAGCTGACAGGTACACAGATATACATCTTCTCCAGCACGATGATATATAAAGAATATTCCTATCATTAAGGTAGGTAAGTAAGAAAACACATTCTGTAAAAATAAAGCAAGGAGTAGTGTTGAGAAGAAAACTCCTTCACCGTAACACCATCTATCTCTCCACTCCACTCATTTTTCTCCAACCCTGCTGACAATCCTGGGCTATTTCAACAGCCTAACTTGCTTTCCCCAAATGGGAC